TGTGTGGGCTTTGCTTCAAAATAATACAGAATGGAGAAAATGAGTGGGAATATAGAAGAAGGAAGATTGACCATGAGCTGATAATGGTGAAGGTGAATAATGAATACATAGAGGTTCATTACACTACTCTACTTTTATCTATGTTTGACATTTTCTATAATAAAATGTTAAAAGAGTTCTCACAAGAAAATGTAATGGTGTATTGATGATAACTAGACTTACTTGTGATCACCTCACAATATATACATGTACTGAATATTATGTCATATGCCTGAAACTAACATTATATGTCAGTTATATCTCAATTAAACAAAAAGTTAGATAAAAGGCAGCCACAATATGAGCATTTCCCACAATCTCCACACCTACTCCTGTGGCCCAAATAATCGTCTTTCACCTGTACTGCAGCAGTAATCTCCCTAAATGGTCTGCCTTTGCCCTTTTGTAATCTACTCTCAACAGAGCAAGCAGAGTGATCCTGTTAAAATGTAAGTGAAATCACTACTCAAAACCTTCCCAGGGCTGCCATCTCACCCTCACAACCAGAGTCCCCACAGTGGCCTCCAGAGTGCTGGAATCAATACCATCGCTGTCCTCAAACCTCATCTGCCCTTTGTCCCTCACACGTTTCTTCTGTTTTAGCCATACTGGAATCCTTTTGCCCCAAGGCCTTTGTACATTCTGTGCTCTCTGCCTCGAACACTTCACCAAGATGTGCACGTCATTCCCTCTCTCCCTTCAAGTCTGTTTCCAAATGACATTATTAATGAGGCTTTCCTTTGACTACCTTCTATAAAAATGCTAACTCCACATCTCTCCCCTGCCCTCATGTATTTTCTCCACAGTAATTATCTTCACCTAACATTACTGTACATTTACTTTCTTTTCCTCCCATATTACGATAAAAATTCCATATAAGTAAATTTTTAAAATTCTGTTCACTGTTATAGTTTCAGTGACTAGAACGTGACTTGGCACATAGTAGGTGCTTCGATAAACAAATGTCAACATTGAGATACTCAATTTATAATGAGGAAAGTGAGGTAAAAAGAGGCAAGTGAGGTAAAAAAAAAAAAAGGCTAAGTAACTTGCCCCAAGTAATACAGATATCCTGACTGAAAGCCTTTGTATTCTTCATTCCTTTTGCCTAGAATGCTTTCCACGTTCAAAGCAGGGTCTTAATCTTTGTCTTCCATCAAAACTTGGGCATTTTCTATTCCAGCTGCTGAAAGTACTTCACAAGGTTACAATGAGGATTAAATGTGAATATGCGCATCAATAAAATTTGTAGAATCACAGGTATTGTGGTTTCTAAGATCAAAGTCAGAAATGCTAGCCTGTTCTTATTTTTATGTAGATGTGAAATTACAACTAGTCACTGGGAAACCTGAGTAAATTCCAGGTATGAAAATTTAGATAGGATATCTTATGTTACATGTGGTTTCCTGCAAGTAGTGGAAATTAGATATTTTAGTTCTTGAAATATTCAGAGGTGAACACCTGGCCAAACATACAGGCACGTGATTGTGGTTTACACATAGCTCCAGGTTTCATCTCTCAGCTGCAGATGTGTCTTGGGGTATATAGATAGCTTTTATCAGCTATAGTCTGCTGGTTAGCAGATGTGGAATAATTGAATCAACCAGTAATACCGTGATCCTCAAGGTTATTCAGAACACCAAGTTTGTCAAGGAATTATGTATCTGAAGCATTACATTGCCCAAATGAGAAGCATAATACTTAGACATTTCGGTATTTGGGCAATAAACCACATTCATGCTTTCCTTCCAGTGATCTGTAATGATTTGTATATGAATAAGCTTTTAAAATTTCTATTCAAGTTTACAATTTGTCCCATTTAACTAATGGAAAAACCAATGTGCCAGGTGAAATGGCTTGTCCAAATTACACTAGTGGCAAAAAAACAAAACAAAATTTTTAAGAACCATAGTTCTCCAGCTGGTGACATTTGCCTTCCAGTCTTTGCTGCTTATGATTTAAATAGGTCATATTAGAATCATATGAAATTGCCAATATCTGGGTGGCATTGACCTACAAAAACACAATTTAGTGTGGTTCAAGTTAATAATAGAACACTTAAAACTACAGCATGTACAAATTGAGAAATTTCTGTAAACACATCCTTTTAATGAAGGTGCTTAAATAGCAAAAATAAAAGTCTCATACCAACTGCAGAGAAGCTTCATTAGACAATAACATAAAATTGTAATTTTTGTAAAGCCCAATACTTTATAAATACTAAGTAATAATGTCAAATAAAGTTATAGAATGCCTATGCTCTGTTAAATAAATACCACTCCAGGGAGCCCAAAGTCGTATGCTGGATTCCTTTGTCATCCTGTTACCTGTATTGTGCTCCATGACCCATGGTCACATATGTATTCTTAATGCAAGACATTCATCTCAGTTGCATGTCCCAGTGCAGACGATGAGAGGCAAGGACTGGGGTTGGGATAAATTCCAAGAAAAGTGGTAAATCCATGACTTCTAACAGTGGAGGTGAGGGACATCTAAAAGCAGATTCATGCACCTGCTCTATAGTATATGCTAAATAAATGGTGAATAAATGAGGGAATGAAAGGATGCCTTACTAGTGATGAGTAAGTAGTCTCATTCCTAATTATGAAGGATATCTTAAATTATATCTCGAAAGAATATAGAACCAAAAGTGTGTTTTAGCTGGAAGGGGCCTTTTCAAATCTAGTTACTATATTTTGTAGTTGGGGAAATCAAGGCTTGAAATTAAATGATTAGCCCAGAGTCACACAGTTTCTCAGCGTCAGAAATGGGACTAGAATTATGACTCCTGGTTCTCAGGGTAATATATCATGGATATATTGGGTATATATATTGGATAATCTTCCAATACATCATGGGATAAATTATCTTTCTTACCATTAGAGATAATTAGCATATACAACCTGAATATAGCTGAGTAGTCTTATTTGGTATTATAATTGGAAGAGGACTTAAAATTTATTTAATCTAGCCCTTTATTTTACGGAGTAGAAATCCATGGTGCAAAATGTTAAATGATTTGCCCAAGGTTAGCCAATTAGAGAATCAACAAACTTAAGGCCTCCAGAGCACATTTCACATTATGCTGAAGGACAGTGCTTAGTTAAAGCTTATTTGCTTTTTACATATTTTGATGACATATGGTCCTCCAAATGTGGGCAACAGGAAATGTTTATTTATATACAAGTACATGGGAAAACAAATTCTTCTTTTTAAAAAATTCTGTTACAAATAAAAAGTTATTAATACATTCATCCTTTACACACAAAATACATTCTTTTTACTTATACTGTCAGTATGAATCATTTCTTAATAAAAACTTAAGCTACAGTGGACAGTAAGATGGTTTGGCGATTTGACAATCTTTTTTTAAGAAGGAAAAGCCAGACTTTAGAAGACAGTTGATATATAAAGGACATTGTATATTAAAAGTGCTCGTTCATTGAATCTTAGTGCTCTGGATGAGTACTTCTCTCCAGCATGATTTGTAGCTGTGCTTCAAAAAGAGCAGAGAACTTCAGAAATTCTCTATGTGATGACAACTCAATTCCTATAAGACTGAAGCAGTCTTCATGAAATGGATTATCACATCTAAACGATAAGCTCATTGAAAATTCTTATGGACATACTGGGGAGTTAGCCATTATTCAGTAACCAGTTGATATAAGATTATAAATTGCGTTTCTAAGTAGGACTTCAAGCGGTTCTGCTTAAATGAACACAAATGACTTAATTTGCTACACAAATTGTTTTTAAAAGAGATGTATATGTACCCACACAGAAAACTTGCACACAGGTGTTCATAGCAGCATTATTACAGCCAAAAAGTAGAAATAACCCAAATGTCCATCAACTGATGAATGGACAAATTAAATGTGGTATATTACATATAATGGGATATCATTTAACCAGAAAAGAATGTATTGATTCATGCTACAACGTGAAACTTGAAAGCATTATGCTAAGTGAAAAAAGTCGGATACAAAACACCACATAGTGTATAAGTCTGCTTATCTGAAATGTCCCACTTAACAATCCATAGAGACAAAGACTAGTGGTTGCCAGGGCCTGGGGGAGAAGGATGGCAGAGTGACTGCCCTGAATACCGAGTTTCTCTTGGAGATAATGAAAATGTTCTGGAGTCTGATACGGGTAATGGTGGTACAACTTTGTAAAAATAATTAAAAACCAAATTGAACACTTTAAAGGGATGATATTACAGTGTGTGAATTGTATCTTAATTTTTAAGAGACATGGCAGCTGCATTTAAAAATATTGTGCTCATATTCCTGTTCCTGATGCCCCCTTTCTAATGTGATTGAAGTTTCCATACAATCACCTTTCTACAGAATGTTTTCAGCTAATTGCACTCAAGTCATTATGGGCTTTTTATTTCTAACAGGCTTTTATTAAGCAAAAAAAAAAAAAATACATGAACACAGAAGACATGATACAGGGTACTGTTATTATCTGCATATTAACACTTTAAATAAACTATTAGGCTTGTATTAAAGCTGATGTTTAGATTTTATGTACTGGTGTATTCAGATACTACTGAAAGCCTATGCTTAAGACCAACGGCCAAATATTAAGAATTGAGTTTGTAAGATTTGATGATTAATATGTTTGTTAAACTATGTGTGCCCATGTTTTCATAGACAGAGATAGGAAAGGGGGTGACATCAGGGGTTCTCTTAAATCTTCATGAAACAGCTTCTCTAAGTATTTTAACTAGCTGCCAAGAAGACCCCCAGGATGTTTTATTTCATCCCTATACTAAAAGTCATGCATTAAAAGTATATGGAACAGTATATGTGGAGCATACTTTTTCCCTTTAGATTATCAAAAATCTCTTCTTAACCTTTTATTATCTGAAATTTTGAGCAGAGTTTTTTGTTTTGGGGGGTTTGTTTTTTGCTGGAAACAGCTGTTTTACTCACACATTTACATTTGTGTAAGTGTATTAGCATGATACTTTTATGTAGCTCCCTTACATATCATAAGGAGCTCCAACCACCTGGTACATCTAGAGGACGCTTCAGCGAGCAGAAATTAGAAGCCAGCATTTCAGTCATTTGAAATTTTCTACAAGAGGATCATGAAGGCTCCAACATACCTTAAAGGGATAAAAGGACTTAAAACAAGATTTTTAAATAAATCAATTGACATTGTTAATATTCTATAAGAAACTTCTACTGGCATTCTGCAATTGTATAGGAAAAGAGATGTATATTCATCCCTAATAATTACAAAGCAATGTTTAGCAGCTGTTTTTCAGAAGACTTATCAAATTTTCCTATTGCTATTTAGTCCAGGGCATAACTGTGTAACCTTAAACAAAAGACGTGCACCATTCAACCAACTAGCGACACATCACCCTAAGAGACCAAATTCTTACCTTTTGTTACTCTGTGCATGACTTGTTGCTTAATTAGGCATTTGGTATTCCAATTTTTATTTCAGAATTTAGTGCACACATAGAAGGGGAAAGAAACCTTGTAAAATTTGGGTTTCATAATCACATCCATCAAAAAATGTCATCTATAAAATTAAATTCTAAAAGCAAATGACAAACCAGGATTCATGGCTCCACTTTTACCAAGAAGAGGACGTGAGCCACAAACCAGAATAATTCTTCAGAAGTACATTTTGTTATCTATTTTGTTATAGAGAGAAGTAAAATACATGGATAATTGAAGAGTTAATCAACAGTAAGATCATGATCTAAATCTGATACCAACAAGAGGAGTTTATAAATACCTAGCGTGACATTCCCCAAAGGAATAATGGTTATCATCTTAATGAGTTTTTTCTGTCATTAAAAAAAATGAGGCAAAAGGGCAATAATAAATGGCAACTATGACTCCTTCAAAAGAAGAAAGGATCAACCCATTTTCTTCTCATGGAGAATGTGATCAAGAAGAGAGGTCAAATTGCATTGAGGTATTTCAGTAATAAGGTTAAGTCTCCTGATACTGACAAGTTTACAACCCTGGAATTGCCTTTTTGGGGGGAGAGAATGCCTTTCCTGAAGTAGGTAAGGAAGAGCCTCTTGGGTAACAGGAATGACCAAAGGCAGAAAGATGGATCAAATAAGTGACTCCCTGTAAGGGTCCTTTCAAGAATGGAAATTTTTTGTTTGAAATCAAGAAGGGTTCTTTGTTTTGTCCTAGGATCTATACTTGTATCAGACCATCCAAAGTCTGTTTTTAATCAAGGAGAAAAGAACTAAATATTGGAATGCTTTCATTTTATCCTAATTTGCACAATAATCCTGACAGTTACTATGAATCTATTGTAGATGAGGAAGCTGATGCTTAAGATTGTGCTTTGCATAAAGTTACACCTAATTCGTGGCAATACTAGGACTCCTCACACCTAGCCTAGCGTTACCCCTTCAGTACACCTCCCTACATCACTCCCTGAGTGTCAAAGTCACAACCCACCAAGGATTCCATCAGGAACTAGAAGACATCTCCAGAAATTCCACTTTAACTCAGTGGGGAAGTAAATTTTGACTCATGTACCCCAGGAAGTAAATTAGAGTTGGCTAGCTTTTGTGCTCTAACCTCTTATCCAAAGAAAGTCTCACCCAAACCCAAGTGTTTCTCACCATTCTGATGCAGGACCAGTACTTTTTGATAAAGACCAGTGAAGAGCCATCTATCAGCTAGCAAGGATGCTAGTTACTTTTGCAGGTGAAACCATATGGATGTTCCTTATGGTTATACCTCATTTTCAAAGACCTGTGTTTTATTACTTTCTACAAGCAGTAATTTGGCTTCAGTTCTGTTAATTTAATTTTCAAATCAAGTTTGTGTGTGTGAGTGTCAAGTAATAACAACATGTAACCAACCTTCCTGTAGGGTTGGCAGAAGAGCAAAGCCTTAAAAAAAAAATCCTCAGCTACGGGTCAACAGATATTTAACTGATAATGTTATGCGGGCAAAGTACTGCATGCAGTATGGAAGTTTAAGTCAATAGGTCATCAGGTCCAACCCCCAAACGATGCTGGGATCCTCTCCACATAATCTTTGCTGAATTCCTGTCTGGCCTCTGCTTGGCAGAGACTGTTACCTGAGGCAGCCCCTTACATGATTAACCATTTTTTGGTAAGTTCTCTCTGACATGGGGCCCAAATCTGTAGCTGTGGCCTCTACTCACTGGGCTTTATTCCAACCCCTTTGGACCACACAGTCCTGTTCTAATGCACAAATTATATTCCTCTATTTCCTATGCTAAATCTCCCCCAAATCCCTCAAATATTATTCAAATGTCCTAAATTTTTTATTGTTTCACCATCAGTTATGCCTCTATTTGTTTTTAATTTCAAAGTGTGGGTCCCCAAAATGATGGTAATATGCCAATGTTATAAACTTTAGAGGAGATGAAGTGCTATCTACCTTCTTCTAACATTACTATATTAATGCTATTAGAAGGGATGCTAATTTCTTGATTCACTATGCTTTCTACCCAGTGTGAATGATGTAAGGGAAGACAGCTTTCCAAACACAAAATTTCCTCCCAAACACAAATAGTCTTACGTGACAGAAATGAAATCTGAAAACATTTTTCTCTTATCCCAAAATTAGTGTTCAGTCATACTGCTCATGTGGAGTACCTTGTGTCTGAAGGATGAAATACACATGTTTTTTTCACTGCTTTTGATTTTCCAGTTAAATCTCTAAAGAGTTGTTATAGTTGCATTAAAACACATCTATCAGGACCATGGTTGGGGAAGGTAAGTAACCAGTTGCAGTTAAAAAAAAAAAAATTCAAAAAGTTCTAGAAAGAAGAAAGGGTAAATGCTGTAAGAACTCATCCAGAGGCAAATAGGGCAGTAGTCCCTATAATACTAATGACCATGAAATACACAGGATTAAAAAGTAGAAAATGTCCATGTTTAAAGCCATTGGCTTGATATGTGGGGAGAAAACTTCAATTATAATGAGATGATATCTCACTCCAGTGGTTTGGTTTATTAAAAAAAAGATGTTTGCACTTTTATCAGAAAACCAATTCATAATCAACTGCAACTGATATTCAGAAGGATTGATTAACTGAAACTTATCCCGAATCTGGAAGGACTGTGGAATAGTAAAAGGGTAAATGAGGCAAATCATTCTACTAACGCTGGGAGTCCCCAGTGCCCTCCCAAGGCGTACATTCAGGGACAGAAGAAAGAAAAGGAATCCAGTCTCCTGTTAATTCGGCCTACCTCCGTCCAAGTCTAAATTGCTTAAAGTAAATAATCCTAATCCAAATACCTTACATTGGCCAGTGATTTTTACCTTTCTTACCAATCAGAAACTGACCCATTATCAAATCAATCCATTTGACTTTCATTTTCAGTTATTTTCTTGCCACTCTACTTAGAAAGAGATGCTAACTTGAAATGACTAAGAGGGGGGGGAAAAAAAGGCCAAGAAAAGCTAATGACCTTATCTAAGTAATCCACAGAAAGGATAATCAAACTTGAATGTTAATATAATTCAAGATATCTATTAAAATATATAAAGGAATAAAAAGCCTTGCATAGGTAAAGGAAAAAGCACACAATTGAGGATACAGTGTACATAAAACCATAATAAAATATAATTAATATCGGCAAGCTATATGATTTCACAGATTCTCCCAAACCTGACGCTATGACGTGAATATTATGCTTTTTCAAGGGAAGTCGGAACAAGTTTTGCCATATATTTAGTAACTTTATTAAAAGAAGAAAAAAATCACACCAAAAATGGAAGCAGAGATGGATTCTGATAGTCTTTTGAGTCAGATCAGGCCAAACTGAATTATGAGAAAGCAACTCTCTCACCCACTTGTTGAGAATTCCTTGTTACTTAAGAGGGCTCACCTTAGCCCATATCCCAATAAGAACTAGAAGGCCAACCAGTGAGTTTAGGTCCTGGCCTGGGTTAAGATGACCACATTTAATTAGTGCTCTTTCTCAAGTTCTATTTGAGAAATTTCTATTTAACCAGAAAAGTTCCTCTTGGCACTAAGTCATTTATTGAACTAATATTTATTGAGCACCTACATTACTGTCAGGGATCAGTGAACAAGTGTCCACAAGGCCTAATCTGGAATCATACAACTAAGGAAAAAGAAAAGAAACGAATCCCATATTCTCATGTGTCCCTGCTGATGAAACACGGATGGGTGACTAAATTACAGAAAGGCTGGGAGGAGTAACGGAAAAGAGGGGCCAAGAGCAGAGCTTTCTCTCCCGTTCTGAGTGTGGCCAAGGGTAGACAGAGATGGCTGAGCCCTCGGGAATAGGAAAGTCAGAGCCCAAGAGTGGTCCTAGAAGCTGTCATTTTATGACTAATCTTATGCAATTTAACAAAGTCCTGTAAGTTCACAAAACAACTTTATTTTCAACATACTTGTTGCTATGAGACAAAGCTGGGTCACAATATGCCGGGGACATCGAATTTTTGCCCTAAATGAAAGTTAATGAATCCAAACCCTGGGACATTTCCTCAAAGTTTAACAAGAGACGCTCTTCTGCCCACTTTGACCAATTTGTTTTCTGAATAGCTTTAGTTGCTGGCTTAGTGGAGAGATGGGGAGGGAAAGACAACAATTACTATAAATTATTGTGGTTGGTATTTATTAAAATTATTTTTTCTTTTGAAAAAGATTTGAAAATAAAAGCAATTCAAACTTTTGGGATCTCTCTCTTATCCATAGGATCAGGACAAAGAGTGAGGCCAAATAAAAGCTATCAATATGTGTCATCTCTCTGGGCAAGAGATGGGGTCACTCTGAAACCTGCCACAGAAATGCTAGAAATGCTTTATCAGTATCATACCTCTACATGACTCATTTCTTTAAAATTAAATAGCTTTCAAACACCAACATATCAGGACCAATATTTCTACCACCTAGAGTAACAGTGGAATTATGTATCATATCCTTATTCCATTCCTTATCCCTCAGTTATGCGAAGTAGCAAGCTACAGAAACATCTGACAGCATCAACAGCATATAGGTTTAATTATTGTCCCAATTTGCATTTATATCAGGGAACAAATTGGAAGGTATCAAAGTATGGCACTGAAGAAATAATAAGACATATTCAGCAGCACGTCTTTCATTTTGAGTCCTGTTCTTACATTGGCTAAGTGAAGGCATACATACCTCCGTCTGAATTGGAGATTTGCAGGAACGCATGCATTAAGGAAGAGAGAGAAGCAAGAAGGAAATAAAAGGGAGAGCAGGAAAGAATGAGAGGAAAAGAAAAAAACAGGAAAGACTGTATGGTCATGAGTCTGACAGTAACATTACTATAAGAAGGAGGTGACAAATGACAGTTGAACCTGCTTCCACAAGCAGAATTTTTTCAGGTTATCACTGAAGATACAAAAGTGGTTCGTGAGACTTTTCATCTGTTGCTATTCTCACTTGACATATTAAAAACGTCTACAAAAGCCTATGCCTTGGTCTTTCCAAGATGGATAGTACCAGAAGTAAAAGATGTGACCAGCTTTTAAGGACTGTGCTTGCTTGGAACTCTGCATGGCAGTTCGTTAACCCACAGTTTTTTGGTCGGATCTGGTCTGTTTTCTCATACTACACATAATGTCTTAGAGCTAATCTTTTATATCAGAATATCATCAAACATTCATATTTTTGTTCATTTTTTTAAGACTTTTTCATTAAGGGGCAGGAAAGATGAGAGAATAAAAGAAGAAAATGGCTGAGATTTAGAGAGAGACATGAAAGGAGAAGTATTCTTTCCCAACAAATCCACCCTAGAAAAGGTAGTAATGAGACTTTGAGAAAGAGTGCTGATTCATGGACTTCCCTTATTATTATTATTTTTTATTTTTATGTAACACACTTAACGACGTCAATGCACTAAAACGTTTGGTCTGTGAAAGAGCAGAATCATTAGCACCAAAAGGAGTCATGGAGCTTATGTATGTTTCATCAAATCAATGATTGTTACTGTTGGTCATGGGTAAAGGTTTCATTTCATTTTTACATCCCAAAGTTCTTGAAAGTGCCTGTGGACAAGAGAAATAACACTTTGCAGAATCTCCGCGGAGTCATCAACACGCCCCACAGAGACAGTACTTGGCCTTCCCAGTTTTGGTTTATCTGGTAGACAAGAAAACCAGGGCACCTGGAAGCCCTGAAGAACAGCCCCCACATGCACCCACTGATGTGCAGGAGGGTTCCTACAGTCCATTTCCCCCTGGACTGTGGTCAGGAATGCGCTTTCACTTGCTTTTTTACTTGCTTTTTTAAAAAAAACAAAAGCAACATGCTCTGCAGATCATGGAGGGCCTAGTGCAATTTTTTCCTTGCTGCGACCCCAGACTGCAAAAAGGTGAAACCATTGTATGTTCTGCTAATGCTGGCCTCTGGACACGGCCCGCGGCCTGCCATGCTTTGTAAGCGCAGGAGCCCACGGGGGTCAGGTCCGAGAGTAGGAGCCGCGGTCATCGCCAGGTCCCAGCAGTTCAGGGCCCGGCAGGGCAGCCGCTGATTCCTTTCACTTTCTGCCTCGGCCTTTAGTTGAAATTACAACAAGTCAAATAACTGATACTTTTCCCTTCTCCGGGTAAAGGCGAGGACACATTGTTCACGAGCGTGTTCTGCCTGGCTTCGCGGATGAGGCGGCACGCTAAGTCAAGGAAGAGTTTCTCCACGTTATCGGATTCCTTGGCCGAGGTCTCCAGGTAATACATGTCCTGAGCTTCTGAGAATTCCTCTGCTCTCTGCTGGGAGACCTCTCTCCTTTCAGCCAGATCAATCTTGTTGCCTAGAACAGGGGTAAATCAAGGAAGGAATCGTCATTTGACTTTTTGTGGGATTGGAAGCATCAAAATTCAATTCCATGTCTGAAGTCAAACCAGACGGATGAGCAAGTAAAGCAAAGCAAATGTGACTGTGATAAATGGAATGTTTGTTTCAAAACATAAGTGCCATTTGGAATGGCAAAGAACCGGAAACAATCCGAGTGTCCGTCGGTTGATCAGCAGCTTGAAAAAACTGTGGCACGACCACGCAGTGGAGTGATCTGACGCTGTAAAAAAGAAGGACTATATACGCTGCCACTAGGCAACGTGAGACACAGGTTATACTGTTACGTGCATAAAGCAAAGTAGAAAAAAGTGCATATGATAAACAACTAAGAAAAGGGGATGGAAAAAATTATACACACACGTGCACACATGCACTTAATTTGCTTATTTCTTAATGGAGAAATAAACCAAATCTTAATTTTAAAAATAATGGTTACCCATGAGAAGAACTAAGTTGATGGGAAAGGAAGGGACAGAAACTCGACCCCTCTAAACACACTTTGTTTTACAGATTTGACTTCAGAATCTAATGTTTTACACAATTATATGATTAATTGTGACTGTACCAATTAATACAAACTTAAATGTAAAAAGCAATCCCTAAAAATGGGAAGTGAAATTGAACAAATGAACCTGCTTCTCGTGAAGTAGCACAGCAACACAGAAAGGAACTATTTCAAGGGGGTTTAAGATAGAGCAAATTAACCATGCCTCCGCAGCGGTATAGACCCTACAGACAAACAGAATTGAAGGGCTAGGTCTTGGACTGTTGCAGTAATCACCTTGTCAGGGCCAGTGTGGGTACTGTTGGTCGGAGGCTGCCGTTAAGTGTATTAGGAGGTAAAGCATATGAGTAATTATGCTGCTGTCATTGGGACTGTGATTTTAGGCTTTAGAAAAAGGAAATACAGATAAAAGATTAATGAGGCTAAGTACAATTTCTTCAGTCCTGAATTATAAATGGGAGTATCAGTGTGAATAATTCATGGTGTATTTTATTGTTAACAGTTTTTCCCCCTCTGTTCTCATGGAGACCTGACAACGTGGTGAGACAACGGTGGTACTCTGCAGCACTGCTTATGGTCAAGAGTGACCCCCGGCTGATCAGTTCCATGTGGTCTGGGAATTCCATGTATGAATTATAAACATCTAATGGAAAGCCCTAACTTTGGGCTTCCCTGCATGTGGTCTTCACCTGAAGAGACCCTGTTAGTTAGGTCTGTGTGGAGTTCTAAGAGAGACTGGCTCCTATGGGACATGGGTGCTTCTAGGCCAGGGGAGATCCTGCACTTGCCTGAGGTGAACCTTCTGCCCTCCCATCTGAACTGTCTGGTGAGGTCCTGGACAGCTTTGTGGATTGCTATGAGGACCTCTGTCTCTGAAGAGGAATGCCCAGTGCTGACTTACTGTTAGGCCTTGTCTCCTGTCCTGTATCCTTCTAAGTCAATGCGAGCCAAGTGTGGCCTTAGGTCATCTTGTGAGTCAAAACATTTAGTAGAGCCTAAAAGACAACCCCCTGTGGATGCTCTAGAATTCACCCCCTGACACAAACACACTAGTCTGTCCACTGAAAAGCCTAAAAGCAATGACCACCCAATAGTAAGGAGGATTCCTATCACCTCAGTTGTGGCTACTAAATACAAGTTCCCATTAAAAAGACACAGTGCTTCTTGAAGAAATAACTAATTCCAGGTCTGAGGCAGGAAATGTACAAGATGTGAGGGGAGGGCAGGCAGCATAGATGGGGACAGATAACATAAGATTGGCTATGAGCTGTTACTTGTCAAAGCTGAGAGATGTGTACACGGGAGTTTATTATACTGTTTTTCTACTTTTGCTTATGTCTGAAATTTTCCACAACAGAAAGCTAAAAAAAAAAAGCTGGTGTGTCCTTCATACTGACCTAATTATCTCCCCTCAAATCTTCATTTAACTCCCTTAGATAAAATCCCAAGGAGTAATGCTGTGACTCAAGTTCTTAAGGGCTTTCTGTGGAACAGACAAAAAGCCCAAGTCCTAAAGTGGGGCTTTCAAGTGCTTCGTGGCAAAGATTCTCCAGTGTGTAAGACGGTTTCAGGACCGCAGATGGAGCCTGAGGTCACAGACAGGCAGATGCTTAACCCAGCAACCTGAAGGAAAAGTCCAGCAATTTGTTACAAAGCAGCATATTACAGCTGGAAAAATACAAGACACGGAGTGGACCTCACATGCTGTATGACAGGGGCAAAGAGCTTTACCTCCCTGGGCCTTGGCTTCCTCACCTGTAAATTAGGGATCATGACACATAAAAAGTTCCTAATATGATTCCTGGCACACATATGCTAACTACAGTGCTTACTACAAACTGTTTACTTAGCTTACTGTTAACCATAATTTGTACCCTAACTAAATTACTGAGGTTCTCTACCCAGATTTCCAAAATTCAGGTCTTGCCAGAATATACAGCAATGTTCTTTCATAAGAAGAAAACATTTTAACAACATACACATTATTAAAATTTTTCTATTATCACTAGTGGAGTTTTTAATAATCTGGTCCATTTCACTGAAATTCCATTTCTAATGTTGCATTTTTCACCATAAAAAGTCATGGGTTGTTACCAAAAAATCAAATAACCCAATTAAAAAGTGGGCAGAGGACCTGAATAGACAATTCTCCAAAGAAGAAAATACAGATGGTTAACAAGCACATGAAAAGATGTTCCACATTGCTAATCATCAGAAAAATGCAAATCAAAACCACAATGAGACGTCACTTTACACCAGTCAGAATGGCCACTATCCAAAAGACAAGAAATAACAAGTGTTGGAGATGATATGGACAAAAGGGAACCCTCCTACACTGTTGGTGGGAATGTCAATTGGTACAGCCACTGTGGAAAGTATATGGAGGTCCTCAAAACTAAAAACAGAAATACCATTCGACCCAGTAATTCCACTCCTAGGAATTTACCTGAAGAAAACAAGATCCCTGATTCAAAAGGATATATGCACCCCTATGTTTATCACTGCATTATTTATATAATAATTCATAAGATACAGAATCAACCTAAGTGCCCATCAATAGATGAACAGATAAAGAAGATGTGGTACATATACACAATGGAGTATTTATTATTCAGCTATAAAAAAGAAACCCTGTCCTTTGCAACAACATGGACGGATCTAGGGTGTATTATGCCAAGTGAAATAAGCCAGACAGGAAAAGACAAATACCAAATGATTTCACTTATTTGTGGAATATAAAAGCAAAGCAAAATAATATGAACAAAACAGCAGTAGACTCACAGACACTGAGAAGTGACTAGTGGTTACCAAGGGGGAGGGGTTGGGGTGGGTAGTTGGGGAGGGTGAAGAGGTTAAAGGGGCACAAAATTCTCAATCATAATATAAGTTGGTCACAGGGATGGCAGTACAGCATGGAGAATATAGCCAATGATTCTGTAATTCTTCCTATGTCGACAGACAGCAAATGCACTAGTGGAGGTAAGGATTTAATAATATGGGTAACTGCTCAACCACTGTGTTGTATACATGCAACCAATATAAGACTGTATATCAATGGTACTTCAATAAAAAAAGAAGTCATGGGTTGTTATCTGCTTTCCCCCTATTTTAAGGAGAAGTTCTATCCTCTTCCAAGATGGAACAAACTGCAGAATTTCCACTAACGGACTCTTTCTGAAAATTACAATTTCTCAAATCAGCATAAATGTAAGAAGGGAGAAATTTAACCAAAGCCCATTTTTTAGGCAGTAAACAATTACTTCAGTAGTGAATTCTTTATCCACTTAAGAGATACGTTTTACTTCTAGAGTGGCATTTTCTGTGATCTTGTAATTCATTTTTTTTAAATGTTGAGCAGCCCACATAACTTTCATGGCAGTCCACCCTCCCTAAGAGGCTGCACTGATAGAAGAATAATCAATCAGCAATATTTTCTCCTTGGTTTTTCTAAACCATTACCACAGGATAGGACCTATTTCATTTTCTCTTTAGTTTCAGAAGAAAATGTTGACTGCATGCATTACAGGCTACATCACAGCTATAGACGATATTTTCAGAAGGTACCAAGATACAACCTTTGTGTGATTATAAATTCTCTGATGCCCACAAATCAATTTCCCTCCTCATTAGTCCTTACCCACTAGCACAGTGATGACCTTGTTGCTGGCATATTGTTCTATCTCCCGCAGCCACTCAGGAAGACAGCGGAAGGATTCTTCACAGGTTATGTCATAGGTGAGAATCAAGGCGTTGGCGCTTCGGTAGTAACTCTGGGTAATGGACCGAAATCTCTCTTGACCTGCTGTGTCCCAGATCTGAAGCTGCAAAGGCATAAGAGAAGGATTAGGTTGGAGAAGCAGAAAAGAAAGAAAGCACTGCCTTGCCTCAGTTTAGAAATGCATACACCTTCATCCAAATAATTTCATGATTATTTTCTGCCCTAAAAACAAATTTTTTTTAAATTAAGGTATCATTGATATACAATCTTATGAAGATTTCACATGAACAACATTGTGGTTTCAACATTCACCTGTACTGTCAAGTACCCCCCACGCCCACACTGTCCATCAGCATAGTAAGATGCTATAGCTATTACTTGTCTTCTCCAAGCTGTAGTGCCTTCCTGGGACCTGCCTATATTGTCATTGCTAATTATAGTAAAGCACATAAAGTTTTAAAAATTGTTGGGTGTGCCTAGATAAGGATACAGGCTTGCTTTGCTTTTTGGGTTTTCCTTTGTTACGTTACTTAAGAGATTTCTTTTTTCTTTAATAAAATAAAAACTTCATTGAGCATTTATTATGTGCCAACTCTAAGCATTGTACATGCAATAACTCACTTAATTCTCACAATAACTCTATGAGGTAGGTACTATTACTATACCTATTAAATGAGGAAACTGAGGCACAGGGAGATTAATAAACTTGCTCAGCATCTCACAACCAGTACGTTCCAGAGCCAATTTCTACCAGGCATCGTGGTCCCAGAATCCATGCTCTTAACCAACATGCCATCTTAGAGAAGTTGGGATGCAGGGCAAGCTGCAATTATTCAGTCAGCACTGGTGAGGGAGACATTCGAACATTTCCCAGTTTAAAATTTAAATAAATATATTAAGGTATTATCTTTGTTAATGTGCACAGGAACAATGCCATGGCAGATAAAATGATTTCCCTCTGCCGCTTTTAGGCTCTGTGACCTTGGGCAAGTCACTTAATCTCTTTGGGCTTAGGTAGTTTCTTTATAGAAAAGAGGTGAATATGCAAGCCTGATGAAAGTTCACATTTTCTGAACTCATCTACCCGTTCTAAGTCCTAAAAACTGATGGTTCTAATTACAGAGAAGGCAAAACACTTCTCCCTTCTCCCTGCACTTCTCTGCACAGAGAGGACTGAAAAACCTGCTGGGTGCAGAACAAATCAGAGGGCCTTGAGAAGCAACACGACCAATAATCTTCCCTTCTAGTTGCGTCATCCTCGTATCACTAGATGCATTCACCCCATTTAAGAGAACATCATTTCCTTGAGAAAACCTTCTGGAACCGTCCTATCAGGCTAGGCTCCCCAGCCCCACGCCCTCTCCCACATATTCTCTCTTGCAACCCTCCCTATAATTCTCCCTCATGGCACCTGACATGCTTGAATCATTATTTGTAATATTGTGTTCAATAACTATCTTCCTCCCTAGACTGAAAGCTTCTTGAGGGGGAAGTGGGTCCATTTTACTCATCAATCCCTGCACCAAATATAGTGCATGGCAAACAGTAAATGTTCAACTATTTACTGATGGTCTCATTTAATCCTTGTAACAGCCCAGGGAGGTGGGCAAATTCATGCCTCCTTTTATTAATGGGAGACTCCATCTCCTGACTGGTTATTCACAAAGCTGGGACTGAGCCTCCAGGCCTACCGATTCCCAGCTGAGGACTCATTCCATACCGCCACGTGGCCTCTGCTCCCAGAGGCGGGTTTCAATGTACATCTGCCCCCAAGCAGGATGAGTCAGCGGTGCCATCCGCCTCTCACACCAGGTTAGCTGAGGGGACGGAGGAGTGACAGGTCGTCCCTGCCACCAAGCAGCGGCACAGGCTCTCCTTTGATTTGAAGTGGCAGCTGCCCTTTGATGATGTACATGAAAGCCTGTGTATGCTAAAGGCAACCGTACAGATGTCACAGCTCCTGCTGGGACAAAAGCTATTTCTCTGCTCTGCTTCAAACCTAGGGACAGGGTTCCCCTCCGCCAAGATGTGTCTTAGAACAACAGACTGTTGTTTTAATGCCACACTGACCTTGAAAAACACTTGTGATTGGATTTAATATTGTCAGTCATTAGAAACCAGTTATGTTCTCATGATTGGCACATATTGAGAACAGCTTTGAGAGTTAAAACCACTGAAATATTTTCTAGAATACTGGTTGTCTGGTCTTGCCAAGGTGTATGCTGCTTTCTCACAGGGGGCTGCCTGTTTCCAGCCTTATGGGTTGATACTTAAGGATATCTGTACTCCACAGCTTTTATCATTCACCCTCGTTCCACTATGCTCTCGGCAATTCACTGGTTCCTTTCCAGCATTTATAGATCATTAATATATATGCAGAGCACTGTGCTAGGCACAAGGAGGATACAGGGATGAATAAAGCACAATCCTTGATCTAAAAGAGCTCACCGTCTATAGGGAGGACAAACACACAGTTAACTAACCATAAAAAAATACGAGATGTTCTATGAAGGAACTGCCAGCAGGACAGGGTCTCCCAGTGTCAGCCGCATGTCTGTCACATGTACCCAATACCACAGCATGGGTCTCCTAACCACTCTTACCTCCACTGTGAGCCCACACTGTGCATCTGCTCTCTGCACCACCACTCACACCTCTGTTGTCTCATTGTTACAATAATGAATTGCGATTGGCTTACTAGTGTGTCTCTTTGCTAAATTAAGTTCTTTGAGGACAAGGGCTGTTTCTCTTTTAACTTTATACCCCCAGTGCCTTCCTAACACAGTACCCAGTACAGGGTGGATACATTGGAATGATAGCTAACTGAAGGAACAAAGAACTGAGGAATCACAAAGGAAGAACTGATTAATTCTAAGTAGAATAAGCAGGGTATTAAAGATAAAATGTTTGGGTTAGATGATACTAAGTTCCTAAAGGGCAAAGATGCTTCACCTAACACAGTACTTGGCACAAAGCATCTACTAGAACACAGGATGGATGGATGCATGGATGGATGGATGAATGGAGGGTCAGATGAGCAAATATATGTGTATACTTGTAAGACTTTCATATCTATGCAATGTATGCCTGATTAGAAAGAAGTCCAGAAACTCTTACTTCTATTACAATGAATCTCCTAAAATAAAATGTTACAGTCTGAGCTTAGAGTTTTGCTTATTACTCATTTCTTTATGATAGACTTAAAAAGATCAATAGATTAGAGAGAATACTATATATGTTTTAATTATGTTTTCTACACAAGGTCACTGTCATAATGCAGATGACAAGTGAAGGGCCTCTTCCTCATCTTTACCATTACAGATTTAGCACAAAGGCTTAATAGCCACAAGAATCTTTCTAATGCCTTTGATTCCTTGCCTTCAACCCTGGGAGCCATCCTAGAAAGAGTAAGACTTAACAGGGAAGGCTGGAGGCATGGTCATGAGAAGTCAGGGGGGAGACCTGGCCTCTGGTGCTGCCCTGGCATTTGCCAGGCAGGTGATGCTGACAAACTGCCAGTAGATTCTTTTACACTGCCTCTCTGGGGCTCTGAGAGAGCCTGCACACTACCCACTAAAAGCCACTAACCATCACCAAGGAGAGCATTCAGTAAACATTAAAGAACAAGGACAACAGTAAGACAATTGTTTTCCTAGTGAAGCCTGGGTACCTCTGTCCCCTTCTACTGAAGGACTAAAGAGGCTGCTCCTCCTGGGTCCACATGTTAATGAGACCCTTGGATTACTGCGGTGGAAGAGGGTCATTTTACATCTTGATTCTACATGTATGTATCACAGGCAAATTCATTTGGACTGGCTTTTGAAGATCAGCCAACCCTCACTTTAAATAGATGAGAGGCCCACAGAGGTGGGGACAGGAACTGTGCTGTGACTATGGAAATGAGTGAGATGCAAACCTTGCTTTGGGGGAGGCTGTGGTCTCACAGTGGAGTCAGAGGTTATAAAAAGATGCATTTTAGCTGAGTGTAATAGTACTTAAAAATGAGGTTATACTTTGTAGAAAGAACAACTGTAACACCTAAACCTAGGGTTTCAGGAAGAAAACTAAGCCTGCTCTTCAATAGTGGGACCATTTTTTACTCACCCTATTCATTCCCAGGGCCTGGCACATGGTAGGCATTAACATTTCTGGTCAAAGGAATGAACACACATATATATGTATAAAAATGGGAAACCCCAACATCTGGACGTTGAATGCCTGAAATAGCAGTTAACTTTACTCAGCTCCTGGGGATGGCACCCACCTCCGCTGGACAGGACTGAGAGAGCTGCAGGGGGCTCTTGATGAGTGCACACTCCTGTCTCCTCCCGTCCCCACAGCCAAGCCCCCTCTCCCCACTCCAGCGCACTATTTTTCTGAGCCTTCCAGTTGGCACATACATGGATTTCAGACCCTGCTTTGTTTCCTGGCACCCCCAGCTCTCCCTTCACTGCTGTGCTTGTGTGCACGTCTCTGCAGTAAGGAACCGCTCTGAGGAGTCAGGGCTGGAAGAGACACTCTCGGTGTGTCTATGAAAGGCTGCAAGAGCGCCCCAGAGCATCTCTGCCCTTGCTGAGGCCTTCCAAGGCAGGAGTGCAGGTACATGTGGGAGGATGCCCATGCCATGGATTCAATCTTGGGATCTTAGGTTGGGGGCTCTGGCTGGAACGCTGATGCCAGCTTCCACTGTGTGGCTGATGCCAGGGTCCTGGCTTCTTTCTGTGAGATGCGGCTCTGGAAGACCTGACGGTGGGATTTCCCTAACTCAGCGGTAGAGCACAGAGCCCAAGATCAGCATCTCTGCCTCCTTCTGTGTGATTTAGTCTTACTTCAACTCTTCCTGTCACCTTGCTCCTTTCCTTGCTCCAGGGGGACAGACCTATTGTGCCTGCATTCCCCTCCTCTCTCATGGAAGGGGGTCCCCAGGGAGACCGCAGGTGTGCTAGCTCATAAAACTGGTTCAGATCCTGCCCATCTCCTCTCCTAACTGTGTAGCCATGGATAGATAAGCCACTCAACCTCACTGAAACCTAGAAAATGAAAAAGCTCCTAGCCATGGGACTGACACCTATTGGGCACTGAATAAACACTACTTCCCTTCTCCTGATACTGGATGAGTCATACTTCTTACAGGGACCAAACCACCAAGAGGTCACAAAAGGGAAGGGGGACACCATGGATCCTTCCTGGACCTCTCATTTAGCACCTCTCCCTTGCTAGGAATAGGGGTATGGCGGGAGATGGAATAATTCTAATAAACGATCTGTGGGTCTGAATGACCCATAGCAAGTGTAGGCAGGTATCAATAAGCTCCTTCATGGGGCTGCTAGCACTGTGTACTGGCCCGACTCAGGAGATATCAGCTAGAAATGTCTTCCTTCTTTTACATCTCTGATGGGACAGGAGATGGGACCAGCTTGCCTTAGCCCTCCTCTCTCTGTCTACCCATCTGTAAATAGAGCATCTGCAACCCTTCCTGCCTCCATGAAGGGAATAGAAGAACTCTGGAAATAAGCTGCCATGGCTGAGTATATTATTTTCAATGTGAGTTCCAATTAGGAGATTTAATAAATGTTATGAAAACACCACTTCCTCCCACATAGCACAATGAAAGCCTTATTGGAGACTTAGCATCTTACCTTTACTTTCTCACCATTAATCTCCACTGTCTTAATCATAAAATCAACTCCAATTGTGGCTCCTTGACCTGGAGGGAAAAGACCCTACAGAAGAAATAACAGAAAATGACAATTAAGCAAATCTTTCAATTAAATGAAATCCCCTATGCCCCCCGTCACTTGCCATCAGCAGCCCTTCCTTTGGCTGAGTTACTTGGTAAAAAAGAAACATCCCTACAGTGTCACGGGAGCCCTGTTTAACTGAACTTTGTGCATATGCTTTGAGGGGAGGAGAAAAGACAGAGGAAGAGGGAGAGAGAAGAGCTGAAAGAAGAAAGAAAGGGGGCCAAAGAAAGGGGGAGCAAGATAGAAAGCGTTAAGGGAGAGAATTAGGAAAGGGTGGGGGATCTGATTCCAAAGAATGAAACAGAGAAATCAGACACAAGGATAAGACTGAGAAGAATGGAGCCACAGGGATAGATCAGGATTGTCAGGGTGGAGACACAAGGAACAGGTGCTGTAAAATGGATAAAATCAAGGAAGCTTTTAACTAGTTATCAGTCCAGGGCATGAATTGCTAGAGAGTAGACAATCAACATGAAAAAGCAAACAAGCGCTCAGTATGAGAAATGTGAACGAGACAGGGAAGCCTTTGGATTTCTCCCTGCCCCAAGGGTGATACTTATTTCCCTTAGTGAAATGTCCCATACCCATATAATTATGTGAGGTCAGGGCCAGTGATATGGGGAAGATGATCAAAGAGAATAAAATCATTCCGGGACAAAGTACGGTAGATACAGCACTAAACCAGGGGACAGCAGACTTAGGACCTCTGTGTGACCTCAGGCAAACAAATCCCCCTCTCTGGGCCTTAAATTCAATGAGTATGAGGCTGATGGAAGTATTTCAAACAAAACAAAACAAAATATTTATCTCAAACCGGAAGCTGAGTTAGAATGATACGATTTTAGCAAAATTACATGTATAATGCTATGTACTATTATGTAACATTTCCTGTAATCTTAGGGAGGGAGTTGGAGGTAGGAAGGAATTCTATTAAGGAAGAACTTTCACCTAGTTTCTCTTCTCTCTTCACTTATACTTCAGAATTTCCAGAAATTGAAGAAAAATGGATTTTCTTGGCTTTGGCAGCTAAGATTGGGGCATCTTTAATTAAGTCCATTCCCTAACAAGAGAGTTCTTTTAAAGTTTGGACTCAAAAGACTGAGCTTCAAACCAACAGAAAATGTTCCATTGAATGTCTGCAAAAGATGTAAATATAAGCATTCATAACTTTTCTTACAAATATTGAATCAATTTTCATCTATTTTGGTTTGGCTCAAACACAAAGCTGCCAAGCTTAAGTTTATAGCTCCAGCTGTTTTGCAGTCTAACAAATGCCAAAAAAATAAAACAAATCCTTCCCAATGTCTCCCCCATCATTTTGTTCCCCAATTCCTCATGCCTCAAAAGAGCTGAATCCAATTTATTTTAACTCTCTACTAAATAACAAAAACAAGCATAACCCTGTCTATGAAATATGAATTTTAATGGGAGTTGGGGGGTTGGGGGCTGGGAGGGGTAAAAAGTGAACAGAAAGAAAAAAGGTAGTGTGCTTAATGGTATAAATCACTATTCAAAAATGGAAGAATTTTTAAAGTTTATATGATTTTAAAGAGCAAAACCAGATTCCTTTGGTCTCAGAGGTTAGAACATGCATAAAATAAAAATGATCAGGCTGGGAACCAGGAGACCTGGGTTCTAATCCTAGCTTTGACACTAATATGTGAGATGCTAAGAAGTCATTTTGTCCTTCTAGACGTTGAGTTTTTCATCTGTAAGATGAGAGGAGTGGGCTGAATAATCTCAAAGCGACCTTTCAGTAATAATGACAGGTCAAGGGAACTTTTGATGAAGGGACTTCAAACTTCTTTCCATCTCTGCAGTCTTGTCCTCCTGCCAAAAGCAGGAAAGATTACTAATGTTAAATGGAAGTAAAACAAGTTGCAGTTTCCAATACAATAGCACATGGTTGACTAAGCCCAGGTGTCTGTTAACTTGTTACTTTGGATTTCACCAGGCCATTAGTAAAAAGTATGAGTTCTATTCTGTGTTCATTTATCATGGGAAAAACCCTGGCATTTCCCAAGGTGACTCTCTGCTCAAAAGCTGTTTCTGTCACCCAATCTGCTTCTCCAGCTTTCCACAGAGCCAGGGACTATCTGAGCTGAGCTTGGAGACCCCCAGGCTCCTTACATGTCTCCGGCAGGCTCCCAGGACGAGCCACAGGCAGAGCTGGGACTAGGACCTGAGCCGCAGCACCGGAACCAGTACGCTGTCTAGGGGACCACGATGTCCTGTGTGCTAGCTGGGAAAGCCGGTCTCAGCTTCCTCAACTAGCACTTTATGAAAATGCAAGATGTGTGCATGCTAGTCCTGGAAAGGATGCCATGCATATTTTTCCAGGGAAAAACCAAAAGATCCTCAACTTCAAAGTGATGTCTCGCTTGTTTCTGTATAAAAATAGGCATACAATCTCTGGCAGTAATTCTCAAAAGGGAAACCAAAAGGGAGCTTGTACTTAGATCAAATGATAAGGTCTCAACCCAAAGAGAATATTTAATTTAGCTCAAATAGTCCTTCACTGTTCTCATTTCATTCCCATTTATTAAATTTTGAAAAATCAACCTATCCGGTTCTAAACCAAAATGATTTACTCAGTTTCATAGGAGGATGTGAGAGGGCACAGGCAAGGAGTTTGATTGGTTTAATTTGTACTTGGGTTTTCAAAAAAATGAATATTTAGGTTTAGTCTGATGTCCAGATTCATTTCTTTCCATCTTGAGGTTATTAATGACTAATAATCTATTTTTTATTTAAATAATCTATTTTTGATACTTGACACTGAAGGCAAAACCACTTGCCTCTTTTATTAAAGGAAGCAACGGGAGGGCTGGCAGTGACCCCCAGAATCGCACTCCCTTGAGATGGTTTAAAAACGCCAGGCTATAAAGCTGGTGCTCTTTCCAAGGGCATGTTAAGAACTGGCGGCCAAGGGGCTGGCCCTGGGACCAGTTACCCTTCTCATTAGGGTCCCCTAACCCCACAGGCTGGACTGACAAACCCAACCTGGTACTTCAAGTTCTCTTACCTGAGTGAATCGTCGAACTAGGCACGTCTTCCCCACGCCGGCATTGCCAATTAAAACAATTTTAAACAGGAAATCATAATCTTCCATACTCATTTACACAGCTGCAAAGGCAAACACAGGCAAGAGTGAGATGGGGCCTGGTCAGACTTGCCCACAGAGCTCACGCTGTGCCAGCCCCATATCCTCAGGAACAATGGATCTGACTCATTCGGAGAGCAATTTAAAGCTCCCCTCCGGTGACCCTGCTGGCAGGAGGAACACAGGTGTTTGGTCACAGGTGGACTTTATTCCTTCCCAGTCACCTCATGACACAGAGAGCAAATGACACAGATGTCCTTTGACCTCGTAACCTTTATTCTTCCAAGTCATCAGGTCACAGGTCACTCATGGGATAAAATGTTTTCCTTTAGCATGGAAAGGAGACTACCCATCTGTGCAGATAAGCTGGGTGGTAAGGGAGCCCAAGGAAGCAGGGACAAAGGAAAGCCCATCCAAAGCTTGAAGGAAGTTCAGGCCTGCCTGTGTGTGCCTCTGGGAAGAAGATGAGGGGCTGGGAGACCAAAGGGGAAGGAAAGACTCGGTCTCCTGCACGTCCTGGGGGAGGGGGTCTTGCCAGTGGGAGCTATCGTCATCTTCCCCCCACCCCACTCTGCTGCTATACACGCCCTGCCGGCCGAGCTGATGCTGCAGTTCCCCCAGGAGTGCCTGTCTTCTCAGTCCCACGGCCTGTGGCATACGTCACTTCCTCTGCCTGGATGCCCTCCATTCCACCCTTCTGTGCCATGAAGTCAATCCTTTAAGGCCCAAAGCAAGCATATCTTTCTGAAAATTCTGCCGGTCTCCAAATAAAGTTAAATACTTTCATCATTTCTCTGTCCTAAAACTCCACTTGCTGTATACAATTATTTGTTCAAATGTCTCCCTCACTCTTGAGGGAAGGGATTACATCTTTCAGCTTTATTTCCTTAGCCTATGGGACAGTTGGACTTCATAAATGTCTATTCTATAGATTTGAAGAATTAATTCCTGGCCTACTGCTTAAGAGTAGGCTTTAGTTTCTCTAATTGTGCTAAAAAGAATGTTATATGCTCTACTTCAGAGGACTGTTGTAAAGATTAAAAAAAAACAACCCTACACAAAAGAGCCTTGGTACCCAAAAGCTTTATTTATCCTGGTGAAAACAATTATTATCTATTAAGTACCTGCTATAGTACTGTGCTAACACAGTAGGAAATGCAGAGATAAGACAGCCTCTGCCCTTGAGACTAACATGAGAAAAGTTAAACAACAGCCAAGTTAAATATAATTCAAAGCAGCAGCAGAGTTCATTTCATAAGGTGCAGGCAGAACAAGCCCAGCGGACTCTGGCGGGAGAGCAGAAGGCTGCTCGGCAAGCCCGCAAGGGAAAGGGTGAGGGGAGAGCTAGAGAAGCCTCAGGGTCTCTCCCAGGGGCCTAACAGAAGCTCGGGAGGCTGCAGGGCTGCGGGGGGTGGGGGGAGAGAGCGAGGAACTGCACCAACACCTGTCAGGTCGCTCGGAGAGCACAGTCCCTGTGAGCAAAGGTGATTTCTATTCAGCTGTAGATTTCAACTGATCCTTTGAAAGACAACTGACGTGACCAACCAAATATGCAGGTGGGTCATGGGGTTCTGTCTCAGTTCACTGAGACCATAAAGGAAAAGCAGTTTTCTGTCAAGAATCTGAGTCCATAAGCAGTGGCTGAACTCACTATATGCTAGGCACTACATTTGGCACTTTATGTAAATTTCCATTTGTTTTTACAAGTCTGTGAGGCTGGTATTTAGTAATATGCTACCTATTTTGCAGATGAGTAAACTGAGGATAGCCCAAAGTTATAAAGCTAACAGCCAGACTTCAAGTTCAGAAGGCGTACAGTGTTATCAAACACTCTAGCTTTGGAGACAGAGAGACCTAGGTTCAAATCCTGACTCTACAGTCTTCTAAGCTTGTGCCTTTGGGTAAGTGATGATTTTTTAGAGCCTCAACTTTCCGATCAACAAAATGGGGCTAGTAACACCTATATCCCAGTGTTGTGATGCTTGAAGGAATTGACGGAAACCCCCAAGGACCTGGCTCTTAGTCACCCAAAACTCCTCAATATAACACCATCTTCCATGGTCTGGTTTCCGCTTTCTTTGCCAGCCCTGTCTCTCACCACTCTGCTTACCCACGAACTCCAGCCTCACTGGATTTCTTCTGCTCTCTGAACACCACAGCAGTGCTTTCTCTTTGGATTTTCCCATATACCATTCCTTCTGCCCAGAACACAACCTGCCCACGCACCCCCGGCCCCGCTAACTTTCATTCCCCCTTCCAGTGTCGCTTAAATATCACCTCTCTGTTATGCTTCTCTGACCTGTGAGGCAGTCTGGGCCTCCCTACTACACACTCCCAATTCCCTCCTAGGTCCTACAGTGAGAGGCACCCTGCTTCGCTGCACTTAATTATTTACATCTCAAACTCCAAGTCCATCCCTCAGCACCTCCACCCTACACACATGCACACACAGCTGTGAGCCACATGAGAGCAATGAACTGTCTGGTTGAGTCCTGATTCCAACCCTTTCCCATTATCATTATTGTCATTATCTCATTCTATATAATTAGTTCATTTAATCCTCACAACACTCTTATCACGTGGACACTATCAGCATCCTTATTTGGCAGAGGGGGATACTGAGGCATAGGATAAGTTAAATAAGAAGTCATTAAGGTCCCACTTAACAGGGGGTCACACTTAACTGGTGGAGCTGCAATTCAAAACCAGACAGCCTGGTCCAGCTCCCGTGTCCTTGAAGCACGACCCTGGAGTGCCTTTCACGATGCCTGGCTCATAGTAGGAGCTCAAGAAAGCTCTGATGAATTGAATGATGACGGGCAAGCACTCAATAAACCTGATTTCCTTTTTCTCTTTCTGTCTGGCTTCAAGTCCAGACTATACTACAATAGTTTAAACAAGAATTGAGGTCAGACTCCAGATGAAAACTCAGGGACATGGTATTAATTAAAATTCAATAAAGCTGTTAAAAGTGAAAAGAAAAGAAAACTCAGGGCTAGGCACAAGGAGAGCAGGACAATGTGAGGCTCTGTGGGCCATGTACGGGCCACTGCCCTCTGCTTGCATAAGCCAATAAACAGGGAACACAAGACTGGGCTGCTTTCTTTTCCTCTGCTTAGATCGTTTGCCACAGATTTAGTTCTCCATCTTTGGGAGAGGTCCAAGAAACAAAGAGAACCCAGAGAATGTCCCCAAAAAAAGAACGGAGAAAGAGCTCTCACATGATGGTGACCAGCGCACATCAGGCGCCTTCAGGAAAAGAAGGTGAAGGGCTCCTTGGCCGAGTCAAGCCTTGTGTAGTCACCGGCTGGGCGTGCCGTGGAGTACAGATGAAAGCCCTTCCCCCTGCTAAAAGAAATTGCTTTCATGTTCAATTTTTTTTTTAATAAACCTCTGGGAAAAAAGTGTTTGGTCTCTTTAAATATGCAGGCTGCCTGTGGCTAAGGCTGGGCTGTAAACTCCTGGTTACCTGCTGTGGTTACTGTCCTGCTTCTAATAGAAAACACATTGCTGGATGAAAAGCCCTCTGTATTCTCTGGAAACTAGGCTCTGAGGAAGCCCTCCTGCTTAGTAACAGTCTCCATGTGAAGGGACAGCATCCCAGGAGAAACCTATTCAGAAGCAGTTAGCTACACCCAGCCCTAAACTGACCACAAAAGTTACCTTGTCTGGGGAGCAAATATGTCAAAAGATATGCTATTCTATTATTGTTAATAATAATAATAGCTGACACTTACTCAGTGCTTACTGAGCCAACCAGGTACTCCTCTCCATGTATTCATTAATTTAACCTCACCACACCCCATGAGGTAGGTACCATTATCATCAATTCTAGCTTACAGAAGAGGAAACTGAGGCACAGAGAGGTTATTCTGAAGTCACAGAGCTAGTCAGTCTTAGGCCTGGGATTGAAAACCAGGTCCTCCCTGATTCCAATTCCAAAGCCTGGCTCCTTCTGAAATAGGATGCAACTGCTTCCACCTTGTGGCTGACTGCGTTGCTAGACCTGTCATGGGGCCTGGAGGCTCAGGTGAGTGGAGCTCCAGCCCCTTTGCACTGCAGTGTTCTAGACTCTCCCTCCTCTCAAAGCAGCATACCCACAGTGCTAGGGCCACACTGACCCCAGGTCATACGAGCACTGCTCCTCACTGTGCCCGCCAAGGCCAGGTCTCTTTTATGGGCTGGACCCAGACTCTTCTCCACAGACCACCTCTGTAAGTCAGTCATCATTCATCAATGAAACCGAGTATGGGCACAGGGATATAACCAGGTACTCTACTCAGGTGAACCAGCAAAACATCAAATATCAAAATCACCACAATTGCTCCAAATAAATGGATATATGGATAAGAGCCAAAAAAGGAAAAGTAGATGAGAAAAAGAAAAAAACGAGTTTAAAGAAGATACACGAAACAAGATATACTATGAAAATATTAAAAAGAAAAAATTGTAAGCGATGGGATTTTGGCGACACAAACCATTTATCAAAGTGACCTTTAAAAAAACACTGTATGTACTGTTGCACATCAGTACATTTTTTCCTCTGACCTTTCGGGCTCATTGTAGCAGATAAAGTCAAGGCTGCTGGTGAACAGAGGCCAGATCTCCACCCTCAGCCCTGCTCAAGAAAATATTTGGGGGACTTGTCCTTGTTCAAAAAGCATGTGTCTCACTCAGGCCCTTCTCCCTTTCAGCGTCTCACCTTGGCCTGAAAACCAAGGAGGCTGGGTGAACAGGCACCACAGCCCCTTCCCAGGACAGTGTGTGCTGCCAGTCTTACCCTGAAGAGGCAGCCTGGGTAATGAAATCAAGAGCCCTGGGTCGCTAAAGAGTTACGTAGTTTCCTCGCCTGCAAATGGGGATAATAGAGCCTGTATCACTGAGTTGCTTGAGAGGAAAATAAGCTGGTAAGTGGAAAAGTGGCCCTTTAAAATATATAATAACCAATTTTTTAACCCTTATGACAAGAGTCAGAAATACCGACTGCAGAAATACAGTCAAACGAAAAGGAAGAGAAAATCACCTATAATCTCTTTTTCTACATACACTGCCTCTTGGGGCTAAGTATACTTAACATTTTGGTATATATCCTTCTAGGTTTGTTGTTTACATATACTCATGTCTATTTGTATATTTTATAAGCTTATGGCTTTTTAAAACAGAATCAAAATATTATACAAGTGTTCTTGTTTTCTGTGCAGTGGAACTTCCCAAAATCCAAAATCAGAACTCGTAGTCTATAAACAGAACTGCCTACTAAAGACCCTCAACATTCATTCAACATTTGCTCCTATGATTATAAATACTCGGGAAGAGGAGTGGGAAGATAGTTGCACAGTGAAATAACTTTAGGAAATACCAAGTGCTATAATCCAATCTTGGAGATTTAAAAGGTTCTAAAAATTCCCATAACAAAGAAAACATGCTAACTTTGCTTAATTCAGGACTTACAAAACATGATTTTAGCTGAGAATTCTTTTCTCATATAACACCTTTTAACATCCCCTATTACTAGGGCTCCATGAAGCATCAGGATAACAAATGTTGTTTTACAGCATTTGAAATCAGGGCTGCCTAGATAAGGCTGCTAAACAAGAAAACAGAAAAGAAGAGAAAGGAAAGGGGGCAGGAAGGAAGGAGGGAAGAAGGAAAAGGGCATCCAAGTAAATTTCAATTTCAGAAAGCAATAAATAACTTTTAATGTAAGTTTCTTCCAAATACTGCATGGGACATATGAATAATTTTTTAAATAAGTAAGTATAGCACAAATATTGCATGGGACACATTTTTACAAAAAAAAATTGTTAGTTGTTTATTCGAAACTCAAATTTAATTGGGCATCAGAAAATATATTTTATGTGGCAACCCCATCCGGGGAAAATTTGAGTAGTCAGGTCTACGAGAAACAGAAACCTAAACACAATACTGTGCTACCTAGAAGCTGTAGAGGGAGATCACCAGGGCATGAAATAAAAGATATGCCTAATGACTCCAAAATATCCAAGCAGAGGAATAAAAAAGGCCACAAGTAAAAACTTAAGGAGGCATTACTGAGCTGGTTTAGACTCTAGGGCCTGGGTTCAGACCGGCATGCGGAGCTCTGCAGGTAGGTCTCCCTCCTGGACAATCCCAGACCACTGTGGACCTTCTGCCAAGTACATCACATGTGCACTTGTCTGGTGGATGGGGGTGTGCTTACATGTCTTATTGCCAAGACTGTCCTTAAGGACAGGAACATGCTTCGATAAGACATGTCTGCATATCCCACTGCTGTGTGTGCAAGATATATACACTGAATTGAAGGGTTTGATCTGTCTTTCACTCTAACAAGGTTCTGTCTCAGGAAGCTCATTACTGCTTAATTACTAGAAGGCAGTTACTAACCATTACCATAATCAACTGCTGCAAGCTCACTTGCTTTACATCAGCTGCTAATTTCCATCACTGCAAGTTAATTACTCTCCTTGGCCAGGGATGTCAAACACCCACCTGTGCCGTGGCCGCTCCTTAGTCAGACCCAGACCATAATCTGCAGCATTTTTATATGGCCCTGTACAGTTTCTAAAATGCTTTCACAGATGTGATCTATTCGGGACCTGCCAACAATCTCAAGAGCTGGTTCTTATCATTCATTATGCAGGTGAGGAAACTTGAGGATTTAGGTAATGAAGTGACTCCGCTAAGTCACACACTAGTGCATTTGAAGGCAACCTCTATATCCTAGCTACCTAGAATTTCTCCACTTTCCTGGAACACCCACTGTTTTCCCAGGTTCCTGGGTATTTAGATCATGATTTGAACACTTAATATGTGCCAGAAACTGTTAAATGTTTTGCATATATAATCTTATTTAAACTTTTCAACAGCCTCATTATTAGTTCCATTATATAAAGAAATTGAGGCTCAGAGAGGTTAATTAATACGTTCAAAATTACACAGTTAATGAGTAAAAATGCCAGGATTCAAAATTCAGTCTTTCTGGGGAAAAATTAAGTTGGAACTTTGTCTTAGTCCCTGTACTAAAATAAATTCCAGAAGGATTAAAGATTTGGATTTTAAAAAATCGAAAACATGAAAACACTAGAAGAAAGCATAAAATATATAAAACCTTAAAGTGGGAAGGCTTTCTAAGCATTCTTCAAAATCAAGGCCATAAAAGTAAGAGATTGACTGATTTGACCAATTAAACATCTTTAAATTCTGCCTGGCAAAACAATAAAAGATGAACTGATTAAAATATCTGAAATACATAAAATTAAGGGCTAATTTCCTTAAATATATAAAGAGTTCCTAAAAAAATCAATCAGAAAAAGTGAATAATCCAAGAGAAAAAAATGGGCAAAGGACATAGCAGTTTACAAGAAAGGAGATAAAGATAGGACTCATATATTTTCTAAAATTATCAGCCTTACCCACAAGAGTAAATTCAAATTCTAATGAATTTATAATTATAAATGATAATTTTAAACATAAGTTATCATTTATAATGAAGACTATAATGACTTTATAATCAGAGGACATTCACTCTGTCCTGGCAAGAGAATGGAGAAATGGGGCCCTGGTATACTGCTGGTGGGAGGTAAATCAGTGCAACCTCTGTGGAGAACAATATTGATTTAAAATTTAAAAAGGCTGTGACAAACCCTCTGACCCAGCCATTGCACTTCTAGGAATCTATTCCACACTTATAGGATGCACATGTACAAAGATACATGTAGTAGATATTCACTACACCAATATTTGTAATAACAAATATGAAAACAACCTACAAGTCCATTAGCAGGGAAATGGTTGTAAAGATAATGGAAACTATGCATCAATGTACACACAGCCTGCTGTGGACATCTGCAAGATGTATTAAGAGAAAGATGCAAGGTGGAATATGGTGTGTATAGTATGAAAAGGGTTGCATATAATTACTTATCTGTATATGCATAAAATATCTCTATGAGGCTATAAAAGAAAACTAGCAACAGCACTGCTCTGTAGTGTCTAGCTCTCAAGAGAGTCACTTGCCTCAGGCCACGCAGCACGATAACAACAGAGCCAGAAGTGCAAACACAGGTCCCCTGACTCTAAATCAGAACTGCCACCAAGACAAATAAGGTCTGCAGATATAAATCCCTACTGGGCAGAGCCACCAGGCATAACCACCAGAGGAGGCTGACAGGGATCCAAAGAGGAAAAGGTGCTCAAAAGCAACCCTTGGGGATATTTTTTAAGACATGTAAACAATAAAAATAAAGTAGGCCTGAGATCCCCACAATATTATTTTCAAAAAGCAGGACAATATATCCTTTTTTATTGCATGTATATATTGTCTATTTTTCTATTTCCTCGAAATGCACAATACATTTGGGATACCAGACATGTTAGGAAAATGAAAAT